TTTTTTTTTTTTTTTTTTTTTTTTTTGCCTGCACGTGTCTACCACTTGCATGCAGTGCTTGCATAGACCAGAAGGGGGCAGCGGATCTCCTAGAACTGGAGTCGCGGATGGTCGGTTGTGAGCTGCCCTGTGGGGTTCAGAAATTCAACCCCGGTCTTCCGAGCCCCTCTATCGCTTTCTTTAAAAGCTTCAATTGTTTTCAAAACTAGTTTTGTTCTTGTGAATCTTCAGGTAGATCGTGTTTGCTTTGTGTCTTGAGGCCCTCGCTGGCCTGGAAGTCGCTATGTAGACTGGGTTGACCTCAAAACTCACTGAATCCCACCTGCCTCTGGGCAGTGCCGGCATTGAGGGCTTTCTTATGAGCGCTTTATATATTCTAGAAACTAATCTCTTAATAGAGAAGTCACTTGCAGACCTTTTCTCCCAGTTCTGAAGATTCAGGGACAATCTGCCGTTGGCTCCATCGCCATGCTTTCTTGGTTTGCTTTTCTTTGTCTATCTTAATTTTTATGCCTTTGGGGTTCTATCTAAAAAAAATTCATTGCTTTACATAAATGCCTTGAACTGTTTCCCTTGTTTTCAAGTACACACACACACACACACACACACACACACACACATTCTTCTGGTCCACAAATGGGGGGTGGTGGTGCTTGTCCTTTTTTGTCTTCTCCATAATTGCATTTATTTGTGGTTTGTAAGTTTTTTTTTTCTCCAGACAGGGTCTCAGTGCTGACCTGGAACTCTGCTTCTCTAGTGAGAGGGTTAAAAGTATGAGCCACCATACCTGGTTTATGACTTTTATTGCAAGGACCTGTTGGTTAATTTCTAAATATCTCATTTTTTTTTTTGTAGCTATGGTGAATGGGATTCCTTCCTTAATTTCTTTTTCACCAAGTTGACTACTGATGTTTAGACATGCTACTGACTTTTTCCCCCATATTGATTTTTTTTTCATCCTGGAACTTCCTGGACCTCATTTGTAAGTCCTCAGCTGCTCTTTGATGAAAGTTAGACTTTTTTTTTCCTAAGCATAAAACCCATGACATCTGTAAAGATAATTAACTTTTTACTTTTCAATCCTTAGACCCATTTTTTTTTTCTTGCCTAATTCTTGCTTGCTAAGATCTGCCTTGTTCCTGACTAGAAAAAAAAAAGGTTTTAGGCTTTCCCCCAATACATATGGCACTTCCTATGAGCCTTTCACATACCGACTTTGATATATATATCTCACACTCCTTATACCTAGGGGAAGCTGACACCTGCATCTATAGCTGTGGTTGGGCAGAGTGAGTAGCAGGTCTGGAGCCACCCGGTAGCTTTGTTCCTGGAGCTGGGGGACCCAGCTGGCACCACCTGTCTGAGCTCCTGATTGACAGGTGTTGCTGAATCTGTGGACTGAGGCACTGGCTCGATACAGTGCCAACGCTGTGGCTGGCAGGGACTTCCCTAGATCTTGTGGGGCAGACCGAGACGGCAGCGGGCTTGTGGCATGGTAGCTACTGGACTAGCGGGGGTTCTGTCTTCTCTTCAGTGAAATGTGTACTGGACCAAGGCTTCAGCCAGAGTCCAAGTTGGCTACTAGCTCATATGCCAAGATGGTGTTGGCAGTGGCTATGGGACGGCAAGGAAAAGTGACAGGCTTCTTTGGAACAGAAAGGTCATCTTCAGAAGAGCTCTCTGGACTGGATTTAAAGCTTGTGATTTCTCAGTGTCCCCTGCCACACTGGTGCTTGCTGGCACCTCCCCACTGTCCTCAGTTTGCCGGCAGCCCTGTGTGGTACGAGCACTTCCCTCTTTTCTCTGGGGTCATTTCCAGCCACTCCTTTGCTCATCTTCCTAGTTCTCCTTCATTCATTCCTACCATATGGTGTCTGCTTTGCTGCCCTGACTTCTCTGGCAGGGCTACATGCAAGGCACCTGGACTTATGTTGGCTTCCTCCTGGTCTGACTGATAAGGTTACCTGTTAGTTCATTAGCATAGCTGTCTTGAGCTGGTGGGACGGTTCATCAGGTGAAAGCACCTGCCCAGCAAGCCCAACCACCTGATTCAGCCTCTGGAATGTATACTTGAAGGAGCAAACTGCCCCCAAAGCTGTTCACTGACTTCCGCCAGTGTGCTATAGCACACAGACACATACATAAGTGAAAAACGTGGTACTTGGCTTCTATTAAGAATTGTCTGGGCTGGGCGGTGGTGGCGCATGCCTTGAATCCCAGTACTTGGGAGGCAGAGACAGGCGGATTTCTGAGTTTGAGGCCAGCCTGGTCTACAGAGTGATTTCCAGGACAGCCAGGACTACACAGAGAAACCCTGTCTCAAACAAACAAACAAACAAACAAACAAACAAAAGAATTGTCTGCCAATTAGGAAAACACATGATTCCCCCCACCTCCCTGAGACAGGGTTTCTCTTTGTAACCCTGGCTGTCCTGGAACTTCCTCTGTAGACCAGGCTGGCCTTGAACTCAGATCTGTCCTGCTACTGCCTCCCAAGTGCTGGGATCAAAGGCGTGCGCCACCACTGCGAGGCTATATATGATCCCCCCTCCAATTGGTTGGTTTCTATCTTCTGCTCCTCTCCTATTGCAGGTCTGACATTAGCTTTTCCTCCCACCTTGCTGGCCACTCAGCGTTAGCCGTCCCAGGTGAGCTGTGCATTCTGTATGTTCACTTACATTTATCACGTAGGACCCAGGCAGGAGAAGCAGATAATATTCTCCCAGCTTGTTGGTTCTAAACGGGCAGATATGCTTCCTGTCTTGGACTTCCACAATTACATTCGGTAATGGATTTCCACTCTGATCAAACACTTGACCCTTTACACCTGCAAGGCAAAAAGAAAAATTAAATATAAATGCTCAGATCTGAGCTCCACAGCAGCCTCTGAAATCCACACTAAAGCACTGTATTAGACTTCGCCACTTCAAGACTTCTGTGTTCCCAGTGCTGGGGATGGAACCTAGGGCTTCCTGCATCCCAGGAAATGCTCTCCCCTGAACTGCATCAGTCACAATTCTGATTTGTTCCCTCCAGTGACAAACTGGACTCTTGAAGATGACGTCATTTATGCCTAAGGACATGAATAAAAAAAAACAAAAACCAATGGTAACAAGGTTTGGGGCTATCTCCAAATAGTTCCTCTCAGCCATGAAAGAAAAACACCAGGCACAGAATAAACAGTGTCCTCTAAAAAAGACTGAGGGGAAAGATGAAGGTTTTGATATTAGCAACAAAGTAGCTTTATCTCAACTCAAACAAGAGTCTTTATCTCAACTATTAAGCAACCCCTGACCTAGATGGCCCCCTGGTGCCTTTCTCTTCACTTTCGCTCGAGAGGGGAGTACACCACTTTATGGAGGTCAACTCTGCAAACTTATCTTCCTGTCATTTTTTATCCTCGTTTTGTCTTTTTGTTCAGTCTCATTTATATTTGTCCTTACGTGTATTCAGGGTGCTGAAGTCAGGGCCTGAAAAGAGACCAGCAGACCCGAAGGCTCAGGAAGAGCCGCGAGAGCACGAGAGGGGAAAGTCAACACTGGGAAAAAACACCAGCCGGTAAGCAAAGACACCACATTCTCGTTTAGTCCAAAGGAAGGAAGGTGCAACCTTCCTCAGAGATGTACTGAGTGTTCTGTGGGGAGAGCTAGAATCTGGTTACCATTCAGAGTGGGAGCCAGGACAGTCCCCTGAAGAATTCTCTTTTAAGCTGAAGGGATTTGCAGCCCCATAGGAAGAACAACAATATCAACCAACAAGACCCCCCAGAGCTCCCAGGGACTAAACCACCAACCAAAGAGTACACATGGAAGGACCCATGGCTCCAGCCGCATATGTAGCAGAGGATGGCCTTGTGGGGCATCAATAGGAGGAAAGGCCCTTGGTCCTGTGGGGGTTCACCGTCATAGTGGCAGGGGGAAGGGGGCTGGGATAGGGGGGTTCCAGAGGGGAGACCTGGAGAAGGGATAACATGTGAAATGTAAATAAAGAAAATATCTAATAAAATAAAAATAAAAAAATAAAATAAAAATTTTATCATAAAAAAAAAGAAAAAAGAATTCTCCTTTAAACTCGATCATGGGGTGGTGCCCTGTTCTGGATCCGATGAAAGATCTACCTCTTGGCCCAATGGGATTCTGGAGCTCAGTACCTACCCAGTTTCTTAGGGCTTAGTTATCTGAGGGCAGTGAGCCGTTCCTCAGCCTCTAGGCTCAGATCTGCCTTAGAGTCCAGGGAAAGCTGGGGCAGCAGCTGGCATCATCAAACTTTGCTTCCCAGAGATAAGAAAAGCTACCTGGGTCTCAAAAGATAATCTTTCCCAGCCCACGCTGAGTACAGCCTCTAACACAGCCCTTGATACTACAGAGCCCAAGTTTAGACTGATTTCTGTGAATCCCAGTAGCCCCTCCGGAGCCACAGAACAGGCTGGCGTACAGCAGGGCAGATCTCTTACTCCAACTTCTGATCACACTGAAATCTAATGTTTTCATGAGTTTTCAAAACAGGATACCAGCCTAACAGCTTGGTGCCTCGCCTCCACTGGCTTCTGAGCCTCCACGCTCCCGTGTTACATCGGAGGCTTCTCTTTCCACACAGGGCAGGTCTGAGCCTTCCAGGTGAGTCACCATCTCAGACAAACAAGTCTCCTAGCACCCAATGAACTGTATCAGTGAATGAACAGTGTGGCAGAGACCAGGGCGTGTCTGAACAGGAGCGTTTGCCTTCATTTTGAAATTGTTTCTTGTTTTTTTTTTTAAGTCAGAAAAAATATTCCCGTCTTAAACCACAAGGGGGCAGGATTGATTTGCTAATAAACCTACCGTTCAACGATTTTTCATCCCATCACAGGGACAGGCGGATAGAAAGATATTCTTGATATGGCCTAATTAAATGGACTCGTAAATTCAACGCACGAATGCTAACAATTCTTATGCTATTATTTGTTACTTATTATTACTATTATTTATCACTTATGCTATTATTTATTGGGCTGTGCAGCTTCCGAAAACTCATACCCTATTAAACACAGCAAGCACAGCCGGCCCGGATTCAGCGCTCTGTGGATCATCCCGACGGCTAGATTAAAAGATGACCAAGAGGACAGTGAGGGGCAGAGAGATATTCATGTCTTGTCACATTTCCTTCATGATAGTGACAAAGGGTGACTTTGCAAAAAAGAATTCAGAATAACTCATTAAAGGGTCCGTATCGGGAGAGCCATGATGGAAAGGTTAAATTATTCCGAGACTCACAGGGAAAGGGCAGCGGAAACTGAAATGTTAGAATAACAGCCAAGGATCCAGCACAGTGATTACATAAGGGGGCGGAGGGAGAACCAATGGTACGTTTGTAATGTTACGTAGGTGCTGGCAACATTTGGTTTTATTTTCATTAATCTGCTTATTTACTTATGTGTTGTCCTGGGGAGGCACCCTTGGAGGTCAGAGGATAATTTGCACGAATCGGGTCTGTCCTTCTACCCTGTGGGCTCCCAGGATGAACTCAGGTCACCAGGCTTGGCGCAGGCGTCTTTACCTGAAGAGCCATGTCGGGGGCTCCAACGAGGCTTCTAATTGGAGATGTTGCAAGAGTACATCTTTGTGTGTGTGTGTGTATGTGTGTGTGTGTGTGTGCCAGATTTACATATCATTCAGTATGTAAAATTGGGAGTAGGTACTCTGGGCTTTTACACCCTCAAATCAAGTGAACACGAATCATCCACTCTTTAGTCCTGGCATTGAAAAAACGAGGTCCAGCCCCAAGCCCCCAGAGGTTTTGTATATGCTCGACCCAAAGGTTCTACCCACACCGTGTGTTTTTACAAGAAGATAGAGGACACAAACCTAGGTGCACCTGTTTTATATATTCGATCAAAGAGGCTTTGTTATCTTTCCAAAAGAGCGGCAGCTTCTCCTCCCGTGGGTATTTGCAGCACGACAGCTCCAGGGTAATTTCAAAGCACTGGGCCCAGATGTAGTTGTAATCTTGCATTCCCCCTGCAAAGCGAGCACATCTCATTTTTGTTAAGGGCCAATGGTGGAGGGGAGCCGAGTATCACGTGCCCGGGAACCGAACCAGTCCGGAGAAAAAGAGGCATTGGCTGTAGTAAGGTGTCACGATGGGCGTCACGTCGCATCACGTGACCAGACACAAAGAGTCCTACGAGGCAGCTGGGGTGGAGCTGACTGAAACTCAGTTACGCAGCAAAATTAAGCGAGAGAGGGGGAAAGATATTCCCCCTCCCCCGTCTTGAAATCCTACATTTCAAAAGCGGTTCTTTTCCCCCTTAAATTGCATTCTGAGTGGGATGTAGTCGGGGCGAAGCTGGAGGGCAGAGGTTACATTTCATATGGATCCAGGCTATTTTTAAGAAGAGCTTCGGGGAGGACTGGAGACGGTGTAAATGGAGCTCTTGTGTTCTCAAAGACATTTTAAGTTAAAAAATATTGCAAAAAGGAAAAAAATAGTTTATTGACTAGACTGCAAAAAGGTAGTGGGATAGCACAAGACAGCAGAACAAGATTATTTCTTAAAGTGTTTCTGTAGGGCTGGAAAGACGGATACTGGTACTTTCCCAGAAAACCTGAGTTCAGTTCCCAGCACCCGCATCAGTTGGCTCAAGATCACCTATAGCTCCAGGCCCAAGGGATTTGACCCCTTCTTCTGGCCTCCTACACACATGCGGCATACCCTCACACAAACATACACATAAACACGTAAACAAAACCAAAAACTGATCTGTAAAAATATTTCTAGAAACTATAGAATTAATTAACTAAAATCAGGAACGCTGGTTTTAGAGGAATAATAATGTTTATATTTACTGAGTTTTCAGGTTTTTTTTTTTTTTTTGATTCTTTCCTAAGACCTTTATGCCACCTCGTGGAATCTGGACAGCAGTTATCACTCTCTTCAGGGTAGCAGCTATTGATATTATGTCACACAGGTCCAGGGACTCTTCCCTGTGGGTGGCGGAGAGCAGGGTGCAGCCATTTTGCCGGAGCCCTTGTGGCTTTGCTTTTCTTTATGACAAGATGTTTCTGAGGCTCAGAGAAAGGATGCTAACTGACTGTAGGAAGGCTCAGGTGGGTGTGGCTTCCAGCTGCTCACGTGCGCTTTATAACTCTTTGACAGTAGGAAACCCTAATTTCAACGGGTTATAATCACTGCGTTATTTTATAAGGCATGAAATTTCATGTGTGACATCTCTGGATGTATGTGTCTTAAATTTTCATGCCTGAAAAAATGTGTATTTAACTGAGAGGATTTTATTTCCCGGTGGTGTGTTACATTTTATACGAATGGCATCTTAGATTTGATGGAATGCAGTCTCTCCTCCTCCTCCTCCTCCTCCTCTTCTCCTTCTGTACTGTCCTGAGCTCAAGCCAGAATCTCACGACTAAGCCACACCATCAACCCTATCGTGACTTTGAAGGAAGTAGACTTTACCTTGTTACACTTGGTACCTGGTCTGGTTTGAATGTGAAATGTCCTCCTGAAGGCTCACATGTCTGAGCACTTGGTCCTTGGCTGCTCCTGGCAGAGGCAGGGCCACAGTGATAGGGCTATCGAGGGTCATCTCTTCCAGGCATCCCACTGGCCTCTCTTTCCTGATCTGCCAAGGCCCCACCCCACCTCTATCTATCATGCAAGTGTCAGGTAAATGATGCTTCTGTCAGGCACTTTGTCCCAGTAATGACAACAGCAACCAGTACCAATATCTGCCCCAGAGAATACACGTGTTCTCAGTTCAGGCACTGGAGAAGTTTAAGTTCAAAAAAAGGCTCAAGAGGTAGAGAGATGGCACAGGGCGTAAGAGCACCGTCTGCAATTACTGAGGACGCAGGTTTGGGTCCTAGCATCCACATGGTAGCTCATGTAACTCGAGCTTCAGGGGAGCTGACTCCCTCTTCTGGCCTCTGTGGCTCAGCACACATGTGGTTCGCAGACATACACGCAGGCAAAAACACTCAGATAGACAAAATGAAAAAATAAGTAAAAAATCCACAAAGAAAATGTCAAAATGTTAAGTAATCTATATAGACCTAGATTCTAGTGACAAAGATTTTTTTTTTTTCTGGGCTGGAGAGATGGCTCAGTGGTTAAGAGCACTGACTGCTCTTCCAGTGGTCCTGAGTTCAAATCCCAGCAACCACATGGTGGCTCACAACCATCTGGAATGGCATCTGATGCCCTCTTCTGGTGTGTCTGAAGACAGCTACAGTGTACTCACATATATCAAATAAATGAATAAATAAATAAATATTTTTTAAAAGATTTTTTTTCTTTCCTATGGATTTTGTATTTCTCTCTGAATCCATTTTTGTGCGCACTCACACACACACATACACACACATACACATACACACACACATGCACACACACATACACACACTCATACACACATACACACTCACACACACACACATGCACACACACACACACACACACAAATAACTTATAACAACTTTGGGAATTTCCACACATCTGGATTTTTGTCTTGGCAATTTTGGATGACCATGAAGGACAGCTGTGCCAGGGAACAGAAGGTCCTTTGTAGGGATGGAGATGGAGAAGCAGGACCCCGCTAGAGACCTGAGGTGACTGGGGCAGGTCTGGAACAGCAGAGTGAATTTTCTGGTGCCTCCATGTCTAGCTGGGCTCACTGCCTGAACACCATCGATTGTGGTCTATGCTTATTTACTTCATCTGGAAAATTGGCCGTGGGCCACCCAGACACAAAAGTACCAGTTTGTGCTAGATCACTAGACAGCCCATGCACCCAAGTGACAGCTGGGGAAGGCGCCTGTGGAGTGGCCTGTGTGCAGAGATGCAGGCTGTAGCTTGCTGTCAGCAGGCCAGGCTGACTAGTAGGCTCACCTCCAGCATAAAGCTATACCTCCTGCCCTTTCTCCGTAAGTCCCTCCTCATGATTTCTAGTTTCCAGATGAATCCCGGTTTCTGTATACCTCTGGGCTTCTGGTGACATTACTTGTTCCATTAAGAGTGAGCTAAGCCTTCTGGTGCAGCTCTTTCTGTATTCCCAGCTATTAGGGAGGCTATGGCAGGAGATTTGAAGGTTCAAAGCCAGCCTGGGCAATTTAGACCCTGTTTCAAAATAAAAGTAAGAAGAGGACTGGGGATAACCTAATGATAGAGCACTTGACCAGAACGTGCAAAGCCTTAGATTCAATCCCTAGTAAGGCCAACAAGAGGAAATGATCGTATATATAGTTCGGTGGCCTACCACTGAATAGCCTTCCTTCTGAGTGAGTTTTCTCCTTACCCCGGCAGCCCTCCTCTGCCTGGCTGTCCTATTCAAGGGTGGGAAACCAGAACTCCTTCCCTTGGTCCTGTCTGAAGAGCATTTCTTCACGATATCCAACTTCTTTTATACTTTGAAAGCAGACTGGCCACACCATCCCTCTGGCTGCCTGGTCACAAATGGTGGGAGCGTTATGGCAGCTGTCCTTGTAGGAGGGACTTAAGCACCACCGGCTGCAGACTCCTTTGCACCCTGTGGCTTTTCTAAATCCTTCCTACTCTAACGTATATTCATCCCACTTGAGGTCTGTGTCTTCCTTCTTTCTTGGCACAGTTCTTGGATGCAGTAAGCACACAGAATGAACGAATAAATGTCTTAGAGAGTGAAGGAGGCCCCGGGCAGCGAGGAACATGCCTCTACATCTTCCAAACCATCAGTCACCTCCACTGCCCCTGTGATATTATGGGTTAGCGACCTGACTGAGGGACTACATTGTGCCTTGAAAGGTCTTTTGGACACTCTCTGGTGCTTCCAGTGAAGGCAGCAGGAGACCATGATGAGGAGGAGGAGCCTACCTTGCAGTGGGTACCAGGAGTACCCGTTGATAATTCCGTTGGGGAAGTTCCTCTTGTTTTTACACTGATCCCCCTTTGTCATGTTGGGGTTCCGGGAAGCATAGGTGTAGGCCAGGTGTTGGAAAACATCGTCATCTGGAGTTAAGCTTCGGGACAACAGCGTCCCCGTAGCTGTGTTAGAAAGACAAAGGGATGCGTACAACACACATTGGTACACATAATATCACAGACACACAGATGGTACACAATCCCGGCACACGCAGAAGGTCTCATTTCCCACCTCCGGGAACACCTCTTCTATCTTCTTTCTACCTTTTTTTTTTTTAAAGACTTATTTATTTATTTCATATATGTGAGTGCACTGTCACTGTCTTCAGACACACCAGAAGAGGGCATCAGATCCCATTACAGATGGTTGTGAGCCACCATGTGGTTTCTGGAAATCGAACTCAGGACCTCTGGAAGAGCAGTCAGTGCTCTTAACCACTGAGCCATCTCTCCAGCCCTTCTTTCTACTTTTTAACAAACAAGGGTATTGGTTCACAAAATAATCAGTCTAGAAATGAAGGGAGATCTTCATCACGCTTTCTGTTTCTGGAGTTCTGCCATTTTCCTTAGGTACTGCCAGGGGCTAACTTTCAGTTGTTGTTGTTTGTTTGTGGTTTTTTTTTTGACACAGGGTCTCTTTATGTAGTCCTCGATGTCCCAAAACTCACTATGTACACAGGCTGGCCTCGACCTCCTAAGTGCTGGCTCTTTTCCGTAAACACATCTCATCCTGCTGAGTCTAAAGCAGCAGGTCTCAACCTTCCTAACACTGTGACCCTTTAATACAGTTCCTCATGCGGTGGCAACCACCCAACCGTAAGATCATTTTCATTGCTACTTCATAACTGTAATTTTGCTACTGTTATGCATTGTCATGTCAATATCTGATATGCAGATGGTCTTAGGTGAGCCCCTGGGAAAAGGGGTGGTGACTCACAGATTCAGAAGAGTTAGATACGGTCAACATTGTTCACAATTCAAAAAATAAAAAAAAATTAAAAATTCTGGTTTTATTTTCTTCTAGCCACATAACCTAGGTCTGTGGGACAAGCCACATCTGGCTGTAGGATTTCTTTGATGGTGGTCATATTACGGTTTGTCACCTCAGCCACACTGCCCATTCACTGGTTAAGAATTACAAGAAGAGCTGGCCGTCTAGCTCAGGTTGTACAGTGCCTGCCTAGTATGCGTAAAGTCCTGGGTTTGATCCCCAGTATTTCATAAAGCGCCCAATGGCACGTGTCCGTGAGGACCAGAAGTTCGAGATCACCCTCAGCTACACGGTCTTGTCTCATGCCCCCTGGGACGCATGACATTCATTGTCATCCTTTTTCTCTCCCCAAAAACGAATCACAGGAAAGACTGTGCAGGGTTGGGGAAGTTAGGCTCTTTCTAGTCTGGTGAGAGGAGATAAGTGTGGACTGCAGAGCTCACCCTGTCAGAGGTGCAGTACCAGAGCCAGGGGTTGGGGGGAGAGGTCCCATCACTTACCTTGCACGCCATTATCAAAGGGGTAACTGGCCACCAGGGCACCCCCATGGAGATTCGCAGAGAGGACGAATGTCTCTGTTTTCAGCCATGCCATAATTGCCAGGGTCTCAGGCTGCTTTGTTGAGTTATTATTTTCAAAGGCATCAGGGAAGTTTCTGTTCAGGTCATAACTGTTGTAGTTTTCCCTTTAAAAGAAAAGGATTTCATAGGGTTTATTGGGGTGTGTGATAGGTCTTGCTGTGCACAGACCCAAGGCTTAGGTTCCAGGTGTTTCCCAGATGTGACTACAAGTTCAGTGGATAATTGCTTTGGACGCCTCTCAGGAATCGGAGCTAAAGTCCCCGTCGTCCCCTACTGTGTGACTTGCTTTGCTGATGGGATGTTAGCTACTGTGACACATGCAAAGGCTGGGCTGTTGTTTGCATTCTGGGACTTTTTGTTCTTGGAACGGTGCCTTTTAGACTCCGAGGCACCACTGGTAGCCACATGTGGGCTCTGTACGTAGAACAATGAGGAAGCCAGGTGACAGGCCCACTGAGAGGCCAGACACACGGCCCTGGGCTAACCGGCTCAGAGATTGACACCCACCCTGTTTTGCCCTTCTCAAACTCCAGATTTACAGAACCAACAGTTAATAAAAAGGCTCTGGTCACCATGCTTGGCAATGTTCCCTACACAGCAGCCAAGGTCAGAAACAGGTTACCTTGTACGCACATGCTCAGAACGCTGGCATGACCGTGCTATGCTAGAAGAGTTAAAGGGAATCCAGTGGTGGGATTTTGCTTATTTTTGGCAAACTCCACAAATTTATAAACTGTGCAAATATATGTGTATATTATTAATCACTGGAGAAACCCTAAACTCCCTAAGGCAGTTTGAAACAAAACACACCATTAGACCACACTATGAGAGCCAGACTTCTTAGGCTCTTGGATTAATAAACCAATTTTGGTGGCTCTGTGTATCATGCTAGGCCGGTGGTTCTCAGCTACGCGTTGAAACCCCTTTGAGCGGAGGGAGAGTTGAACAACCCTTTCACAAGGGTCAAATATCAGCTAGCCTGCATATCAGATATTTACAATTCATAACAGTAGCAAGGTCACGGTTATGAAGTACTAATGGAAATAACTTATGGTTGGGCGTCAGCGCACATGAAGAACTGTGTTAAAGGGTCACAGCATCAGGAAGGCTGAGAACCGCTGTGCAGAGCACAGGGCAGCTAACAAAGATAAAACACAAAATGAGGGGCTGGAAAGATGGCTCAGCGGTTAAGAGCACTGAGGTCCTGAGTTCAATCCCAAGCAACCAACCACATGGTGGCTTGCAACCATCTGGAATGAGATCCAATGCCCTCTTCTGGTGTGTCTGAAGACAGTTACAGTATACTTACATACATTAAATAAGTAAGTAAATATTAAAAAAAAAACCCAAACCAAAACAAAAACCCCTACAAAATACTAAGCTACCCTAAGTCGCTGGCGGTTTGGTGAAGAGAAAGACATTAAATAAGAAATTAGACATTAGGGGCCTGTGAGATGGTTTAGCAGGTAAAGGTACCTGATGCAGAGCCTGGTGACCAAAATTTGACTCCCAGGATCCACCTCCATGGGGAAAGGAAAGAATCGACGTTGCCCTGAAAGTTATTCTCTGAGATCTACATTCCCACCGGGGCATGCCCTGTACCATGTCTCACAAAAAATAAGTAAACATATTATATATTAAAAATTGTTCCTTGAAGGTACAAGAAGCTCAGAAAGCACACAGGGGACTAAATATATGCTACGTGGTTGGGGAAGGAGTTTCCATAGGAATGTTCTTCCGGCAATCGATGCGGGTGGAAGTGGATGTACACAGTATCTGAGCCGAGAAAGCACCCGGGGTGGGGGGAGTTCCAGGAGGAAGATCAGAGAGGCCGAAGCGGGCAGAGTGAGGAGTGGTCACCAGAGGCAGAGGGACTGGGCAGGCGCCATGTCTCATCTTACAAGATGGCAAGCCTGGGTGCCCTGTGCTAGGCACAGGCTCTGGGGGTGCTTCTCTGTGAGGTGAGTCCTCTTGCCCGGCGGAATGGGAGCCTGCTGGGAGACCAGCCCGTCTTTACCTTCCATTACTGTAGTAACAGTCGGGCTTCGTGACGGCTTCGAATCCATCCGGGTTCATGGAAGGCATGATGTGAATCCGCGTGCTGTCGATCAGATGCGTGATTTCGGCGTCTTTCCTGTAACTGGTTACCAGGTAGTCGATCAGGTGGAGCAGCAGTTCTCGCCCCACAGTCTGCGTGCAAAAGAGGAACGGGGTTGTCATTATTATTATTAAGTCAGGAATAAGGAAAAGATTCCCCAAAGCGCAGCTCCCCCTGTCGGGGTCTCCACATTTGATATCTTGGATCAAAGATTTTTTGGGAGACTACTGGTTTTCAAGCATACCCACAGTGGCAAGCGCCAGCTCCCTGCCGGTCGCTGGGGGGTTCTTTCGTGACAGTTCAGGTCTGTAAATTATTTATCTGCTCTTGGTATGTGTGTGAAGGAGTGAACTCACAACAATTTAGGACTTAAAAGAATTAGAAGTTCGTATCATAGTGGTCTTCATTTCCTTGCCGTCCAAGAGACAAGAACACGGCGCACGTGAAACCCAGCACCAGGTTAGGCGCTAGATTTTTTTTTTTTTTTTTTTTTGGTTTTTCGAGACAGGGTTTCTCTGTGTAGCCCGGGCTGTCCTGGAACTCACTCTGTAGACCAGGCTGGCCTCGAACTCAGAAATCCTCCTGCCTCTGCCTCCCAAGTGCTGGGATTAAAGGCGTGCGCCACCACCACCCGGCTAGGCGCTAGATTTTAATGTGATTAATTTTATTAGTTGGCCTCAAGATTTAAGCAGGTTTCAGCGATCCGTACTCTCCTTTTGCTCTTGCATATTGGTGTTATTTGTCTGTATATTTCTGATTTCCACATTCTTAGGCTCTCGTAATGTGATCATTTGCATATCATCCACATATAATTCACAGTTTCTGCCATATGGATGTATTATATAACACACAGTGTTATTTAGATTTTTAAAAACATACTCGTTTTTTTTGGTTTATATTAAAAGTAAAACTTCATGGCTGGAGAGATGGCTCAGTGGTTGAGAGCACTGGCTGCTCTTCCAGAGGATCCAGGTTTGACTCCCAGCACTGACATGACAGCTCACAACCGTCTGTAACTCCAATTTCAGGGAACACAATGTTTTCTTCTGGCCTCTACAGACACCAAGCACTAATGTGGGACACAGACATACATGCAGGTAAAGGACCCACAAATAAGTTAAAAATTATAATTAAAAAAAAAAGAAAGCAAAACCAACTGATTCTAGTAGGATGCTCTCTGACCTCTACATGTGAGCCCTCTGACACATGTGTGCCCAAACACATATACACACCCTCTCTAAAGTACACAATAAATAATATCATAGAATAAAGAAACTTAAAATATCAAGTTCTATCAAGTTCTACATCTGGTTTTACTCTCTGGCTAATGGATTAAATTTGACTAAATTAAATGGATTTTATATGTTGGATATGCCACATATTCTATTCTAAATTCTTAAACTTCTTTGTTTAATTTAAAATTTTTATATGTATGGTTGTTTTTTCTTGTGTACTGTGTACATATCTGGTGAAACCAGAGGGCGGCGCTGGGTCCCCTGGAACTGGACTCCAGACAGTTGTGTGCTGACTTAGGTGCTGGGAATTGAACCCTGGACCTCCGGAAGAGCAGCCAGTTGTCTTCACTGCTGAACCATGGTTCCAGCCTCCCCACCTCACCAGATTATTTTAATCCCTCTTATTCTCTTCCCACAGAAATATATGACTGCTTAGAGGGATTTTTGAAAATATTAATAACAGCCATTCTTGGTGATGGTCGCTGGGTGGCTTCCCTCTGTTTATTTTTCAAGTATCTTTAAAAAAAAAAAATGAAGAGAACCCATGATGTCTTCATGGACTAACAAAATAACATTTCTTTCAGAGGAAGTAAGCGCGTAACCCAAGAAGTATCTGTGTTAATATTTCAAAATAAATTCCCAGGGCTTAACTACAGACGGTTAAAAAAAGAATCTCATGAATATAGACAAACAACCATGCATCATTTAGCTTTAAAAGACCGAGACAAATACACACACTTGCCTCAGAGGGAGTTCAACAAAATCCTCTTGTTGTTTTCTTTATTGGGCCGTATTTGCTGCCCGTGTGATTTATGACAAATATTATTCAAATGTATTCTCTGCAGCCTGAGTGTAAACGGCTCAACTACTCATTCATGTTTTATGTATAAACCTCCTTTTTTTTTCCCCTTTTAAATTTCAGGCTTGGAGCATGAAACCTCAGGTGCTCAAACGTTAAGAATTTGGTGAAAAGGCTCCTCTCGGTGTAACCAGTTTCTTTTTCTCCATACTGACTTCCTAGATAGCTCAGATATCTCATCAGGGGATGGTGGGCCTGAGATATCCCCCCAACCCTGACTCAGTTCAGAAAGCAGAAGACAAATTTCTTGTCAGCTTAGTTCAACCTAGACAAGTGGAACTGGCCAGAGAGGTAGAAATGAGCCAGGGTTTCAGTCTACAAAGACTCTCCATGACAGGTACCAGTGACAGAGCAAATGTGTGTGTGTCTGGGGGTGGCGGGGGTTGGGGGGGATAAAAGCTAAATTGATCACTGACCGTGGAAGTGCACACCTTTATCCTCTATGCTCATGAGTCAGAGGCAGGCAGTTCTCTGTGAGTTCAAGGCCAACCTGGTCTACATAGTTAGTTCTAGACCAGACAGGGCAACATAGTAAGACTATGTCTCCAGAAAAGAAGAACAAACAAACAAAAAAAAAAACAAAAAAAAACCCCAAAAAACAAAAAACAAAAAAACAAAAACAGGAAACAAAACCAAAACAGTGCTATGCATCAAGGCAGCTTAGGGTGGCAATCAGTCTTGTCAATTTGGGTTGTTACAGGTTTAATTCATTTGTCTGAATGCTGGCCCAAATATCTCACTTGTTTTCTCTGGCCTTCACACCTCCTGGGTTCTCTGTGGGCCCTTCACACTTGACATCCGTGTTGCTAACATGGGCTATAGTCCCTGGACTAACCACTCTTCCCATTCCACCGAGGCCTTCAGAATAGGGATCCTGTTTCTCTCTCTCTCTCTCTCTCTCTCTCTCTCTCTCTCTCTCTCTCTCTCTCTCTGTCTCTCTCTCTCTCTCTCTCTCTGTCTCTCTCTCTCTCTCTCTCTCTTTCTCTCTGTTTCTTTTTTTTCCCCCTGAGACAGGGTTTCTCTGTATAGCCCTGGCTGTCCTGGAACTCACTCTGTAGAACAGGCTGGCCTTGAATTCAGAAATCCGCCTGCCTCTGCCTCCCAAGTGCTGGGATTAAAGGCATGTGCCACCACCGCCCGGCTCCTGTTTCCTTCTTGACTTACCAACCCTCCTCTGGTCTATGTTGCCTAGCTTCTGGCACAGTGGTTATCCAATAAACAATTGTTAATACATTACTGTTGATAAACCCATTACAAGATCAAGATTATTCTTTTGTTGTTATTGTTTTGGTTTTTGTTTTTCAAGACAGGGTTTCTCTGTATAGCCCTGGCTGTCCTGGAACTCACTCTGTAGACCAGGCTGGCCTCAAACTCACAGAGATCGCCTATCTCTGCCTCCAAGTGCTGGAATTAAAAGCATGTGCCATTACTGCTCTGCTTGATCAAGACTATTTTAAGAAACAGCAGGGCCTAAGGCACTGAGGGGAAAAGTACAAGAGGTAAATTTAGTCAAAAGGCTTCAGTGTTGAACAGGTTATGCAGACTGAGAGCGGATTGTTCTGCTTATGACAAGAACTCCGGGATATCTGGTCATGTTAGCCCAAAGAGAGGCGGAGAAAAGGCTGAACAGTTGAGCAGTCTAACTGACACATACTTAAAATCAGATATTCCACCTGGAATGATCATCAGTTCTGCCTAAATCCCCAAAGAATTTAACTATCCAAACCCACATTGCCTACATGAGAATGCAGGACAGTAACAGGAAAAAGAAAGGATCTAGGAAGCAACATTTGAAAGGACATATTTTACTTTTTGGTTTTGTTTTAATAAATGTGGAACCCTTAACATTGATCTACACATATGCCAGGCTGTCTTAGTTTATTTTCTGATGCTTGTGATAAACTCCATCACCGACGACAATTTGGGGAAGAAAGGTTTGAATTCGTCCATTGTGAAAGAAACCAGGGCAAGAACTCAAGGCAGGAACATGGAGGCAAGGGCTACAACAGAGGCCGTGGAGGAGTGAGGCTTACTGGCTTGCTTACACAACCCGGGAGCACCTGCTCAGGGGTGCCACCGCCACAGTGGGCTGGACCCTCCTAAATCGGTCATTAATAACGTCAGTAATGCTACTAAATATGATGGAATTTTCAAAATCTATAGCAAACAATTATAGTAAAAAAATTCATTGCTATGAATTATGGAAAGATCGAAAAGACATGATATAAAGCTTTAGAAGAAATTTCTAAAGTACTTCCCCCATATACAAAACAAAACAAAAAAACAAAACAACCCAGCACTGCAGTTCAACTAAACTTAATGAATAGTCACTGAGTATTTTCTTCTACAGGAATCAGGACAAGGGCCCTGAGGTCAAAGGAGCCTGAGACCTCTCCTTGTTGTGGCTTAGCTGAGCGCTTGGTGCTGGATTCTTCAGCTGCCTGACTTGCCTTACTACTTCCTCCTAAGTACTCGTGGAGATGGTTTATGATACTAGAGATTGCATGTGTCAAATTTTTTTCTCTACAAAAATTTAAGGTAGAGCAGAAAGAGCTTGTGGAAGGAACCGGGGTCCCCTTCCCCTCCTCTCTGGCAATCCCACTGGGGCTGGGGATATCAGACATCCTTATGTCCGGGTGTGACTGCGACTTGTAGTCAAGCTTGATTTTAAGGGTTTATTTATTTTTTTTATTTTATATATGTGAATACACTGCTACTGTTTTCAGACACACCAGAAGAGGGCATCGGACCCCATTACAGATGGTTGTGAGCCACCATGTGGTTGCTGGGAATTGAGCTCAGGACTTCCGGGAAGAGCAGTCAGTGCTCTTAACCACTGAGCCAGCCATCTCTCCAGCCCAAGCTTGATTTTAATTGGTTATACTTTTCTCTAAAGAAAGCTAGCAGCAAAATAGCAGAATGGAGCCGTGCTATGCGTGTGTGTGTTCGTGTTGGTGCGTGTTGTGTGCTGTGTATTTGCATAAGTATGTGCATGCATGTGTTTATGCACGTCTGCATGTGAGTCTGTGTAAATGCATGTGTATATGTGCATGTGTGTGCATACATGTATGTATGGGTATGAGCCTGTGTGTGCATGTGGTTGTGGGTAAGGGTGGTAAAAGTCCTACCTCTGACAGTCTCAAGGTGCCAGGAGCTACATCAAGATTAACATCTGGAAGAAAAAACCTGGAAGTCCTTCCTCACTTGTGCTACATAAAGGAAACAGAGCAAAATCCACCCTCTCATAGCCCATGAACAATACCCCCAACCATAGATGTTCGAATCTCGGAGAGGGAGGTATTATATAAATGACCCATAAAGAGTCATGAGGCTCAAGGCCCTGAGTATTTTGGGGTGCATGCTTGTCCTTTAGCTTACTAACCCAGTGTGGAAGACAGCCTCCTCGGCTGGAGAGATGGCTCAGTAGTTAAGAGCACTGGCTGCTCTTCCAGAGGTCCTGAGTTCAATTCCCAATAACCACATGGTGGCTCACAACCATCTGTAATGGGACCCGATGCCCTCTTCTGGTATGTCTGAAGACAGCGACAGTGTACTCATATACATAAAATAAATAAATAAATCTTAAAAAAAAATAGGAGAGCCTCCTCCTGGCTGTCTCTGTAAGAGTCTCCTTCTGTCTGCCTTCAGATCAAGATGTAGCACCATGTCTGCCTGGATGCTGTCATGTTCCCACCATGATGATAATGGACTGAACCTCTGAACCTGTAAGCCAGCCCCAGTTAAATGTTGTCCATATAAGAGTTGCCTTGGTCATGGTGTCTCTTCACAGCAATGGAAACCGTAACTAAGACAATTTCTAAAGAAGGGTAAGACCCATTGCCTGAGATACGTTAGCAATGTTGCTTTTTAGTAAAACCCGAATTGAAAATGTTTTCTGTTCCAAAAGACCTAAGAGGAACATGGTGGGGCCTCATCCTCAGAGTAATCCCTCTGCCACCAGGTCAGGTCACCCCTGTCTCCAGCTCCTAGTGGCTCCAGAGGAGAGGGCAGAATACACAAGGCCTCAAGTTCAGAGTAATAGATTTCTTTAATAGGCCCGCAGAGCCCACAGCTACAGCCATGAGCTGGGACATAAAAGGCATTCCCGGTGTGTCAGATCCCCACTCGGGACACACGGAAGCTTTCTCTGCCACCCCTCCACCCTAGATCAGTTCTCAGCATTCCTTAAAGACTCCGGATGAACCAGAGAGACTGGGTTTGATGGGACACAGTGACTCCCCAGAGACAAATGTCAAAAGTTGTCAAAGAGCACAGGAAGGGCTAGCATAGCTGGGCGGGCAGGGCAGAGACCCCTGCTCCTCTCTGGAAGTTTTGGATCTGATGATTCCTGAGCAGCAGGAACCTCTGAAACCCCAGGAAGTCAACAACTAACTTCTTGGGGCCCTTGATCCGTAGACTAGATACCAAAGGAAAAGGATGTCTGGGCTGCTGTGTGTAACACAGCTGTGTGTAAAAACAGTTTTGAAAAGACTCCCAGCAACAAAGGTTTTTAAAGAAGTGGTCCACTATGATTAAAGACAAAACAAAACAACATGGTTGGATTGTTCCTTACTCACCCCAAATCAGGTTCCTTTCTTGCAAGCATGCATTTGCATTTTAACTTGGGGTGCAAGAAACATTCTCTCAGCAGGACGGGTTGGGCTACGTGCTTGGCAAGGGCTGGCTGTGTGTGTCACAAAGGGTGGGGCTAGGTCCTATGGAACCAGAGCTTGAGGAGGTTAAGTCAGGTCAAGAGGTTCAGCATTGACTAGCACATCCCATTCCAGCTATTGCCAATTGCGAATGATTTGGCAACCAGCAAGTTCTTCCTGCCATGTGTACTGACTGAAATTCCTAAAAGCTAAACGCACCGTAGATAAGAGTGCTTTATACATTCCCTGTCAACTTCCTTCGCTGTGATACTGGGAGCTACCAACCCTTCCTCAGTTGTGTGGCGTCCTGGGACATAGAAAACACTCAAAGTATCCAGAAGAAACACAGAGAGGAAGAAGACACCCTCTCCAGCCCTGCTGTGCTTGCTGATTGGTTCTCTGTCAACTTGATACAAGCTAACTTCAACCCGGGAAAAGGAAACCTGAGATGAGTTAAGTGCCTCCATTAGGCGGGTCTGTAGGCAAGTCTGCAGGGCATTTCCTTGATTAATGATTGACATGAGAGGGCCCAGCCCACTGTGGGTGGAGCTAACTCCTAGGTAAGTGGTCTTGGGAAGTATGAGATACAGAAGCTGCGCGCTACAGAAAGCAGTAAGCGGGTTTTCCTTCATGGTCTCTGCTTCAGTTCCCGCCCTGACTTTCCTAAGTGACCTGAAATAAACCTCGTTCCCCACAAGTTGCTTTTGGTCATGGTCATTATCATTGCGAGAGAAAGCAAACTGGGACGCCAGCCATTTTTTTGTTGTTGTTAAGAGTGGTAACAATGGTATTTTGCATAACAAAATAAAAACAGCGTTCATCTCCTCTAATCTGGAAAAAGGCCATACTAAGAAGTGTGGCGATCCCGTGATGGGTTAGAAAGAACACCGGGCATCTACACTTGAATCCTGAAAGCACTGGAACTCCGACAGACAGCGTCAAAGGCCACATTCCCGGGCTGCAGCAACAGCCCAGGGACGAAGTGCTTCCCTAGAAAGCATGAGGTCTGGGGTTCCGTCCCCTGCGCCATAAACGAGTAAGTAAATTAAAATTGAAAATTAAAAACTAAAAAAGCTAGATGCTGGGAGTCTGGACAGCTATTTGATGTCTTCTCGTTGTTTTGAGTTCAAGTACAAGGCTCCCGCTGGATTTCCTAAATGCGGACAGGAGATGGGAAACCAACCCAGAAGGGGCCCGAGGGACGGGCTGGAGGCAGCATAGAGAGAGCCCCAACACAAAAGCAGCCCTGCTTACTCTCTCAGGGGACCCAATGTATAGTCATGTGATTTGACGCTGTTAGAACTGGCTCCCTAAACTTCCTCTCCGGCCTTTGCTGCTCAACTACGAAGCGTGGTCCTCGTCCAGGCTTTTTTGTCGGTGTTGGGTGACACAGACCTGAGGGGAAGTTTCTCTCAGACATCCATGCCGGGTACTTACCTCATCCCCGTGCATATTCGCCACGTATTTGAATTCTGGAATCCCGACTCTGTGTTCCCTTGGAGACTGCCCCACAACGAGGACCCACAGGTTTCTACCTTCACAGGGAAGAAGGAAAGAAAAAAAAATAAGTTATCTCGTAAAAATGGCAAATAAACTCTGAATGGGAAGAGAAGGACAGACACGTCTCCCTCGCGGCGACTTTACGATTTCACGGTGACTTACGTTCCTGCGACTAACGTTTTCATGCTTCAAACGCTCGTTATTCAGAGTGAAAGGAAACTCTACCCAATAGAAATATTTCTTATTCTAGAACGTACTGGAATAGATCAGAATACTAGGTTACACTGATCTTACTTTCCAAAGTGTTTATATACAGTGTGCTGGGATCTTAGCATAGGAACAACCTTGCTAAAACATAAAATTATACAGGGAAATCACAGTTAGTTGATGGTTACCTGAAAGGGTGCTACGTATGTAAGTAAAAAAAAAAAAAGTAAAAACAGAAAGAACAACAAAACTTGCAATTCAGGAGGGAGATTATTTTTTTAAGTAACAAATCGTAGGTCTTGTATTCAAGACCTGATGTGGCAGACCCTGGCTGTACCTTCTGTGTTCTGTTTTTCCAGTGATGGGGAATTCAGCCCAAGGCTCTGCATCCCAGGAAGGCATGTGCTTTGCCCTGAGGTCCACTGAGGTAATCCCCAATTAATCCTCTCTGTGGCCCTTAAAGCTTTGTTAATTTCTATTTTATGTGTATGAATGTTTGCTTGCATGTATGTAGGTACACATGTATGCATGTATATCTCTAGTCTGCCTGGTGCCTGAGGAAGTCAGAGGAAGGTTTTGAACCCCTGGAACAGGAATTACAGATGGTATCGAGCTGCCATGTGCATGCTGGGAATTGTACCCCAGTCCTTTGGAAGAGCCCCAAGTGTTCTTAACCACTGAGCCATCTCTCCAGCCCCTCTCTTTAGTGTTTTGAGCCTAGGCTGGCCTCAAACTAACTGGTCTTCTACTGAAGCCTCCCAAGCGCTAGGGTGACAGGCATGCCTGCCATGCCTGGCATTGGCTGCACCTTTGATACTGTTGAGTTCTGTGCCAGAAACCACAGCCCAACCTAACAATGCCAAGGAAAGCTTGCAGGTCCCCTTTTGGCCACAGACAGCGAGTCAGGCAAGCAAGGGCAAAAACAAGATCACCGAGGCCGCGCTCGGGGCAAGCATTACAGCGGGCGCTCCACTTTAAGTAATCTTAAATGTTTTCTGGTCATGAACCACTGAGATGGACTGCCAATCAAACTTTACAATGGAGGCAATAGTATGCAATCTTCTGTGATCTCACAGCCAATAAGAGGCTCCTATCTGATTCCCAGAGTGAAGAGTTAAATCCTGTGGCCTAATTGACTCCAATTCCAGTACTTCTACCAACAAAAGACTTGTCTTTCAAGGGGTTTAATTTCCAAGCTGGTGATCAAGTTAAGAAGTCAAGCCAGGCATGGTGGTGTATGGTTGAAATCTTAGCACTCAGGAGACTGAGGCAGGAGAATGGCCATGAATTCAGGGACAGTCTGAGCTACAGAAGCAAGTACCAGAGAAGCCAAGGTTATACAGTGAAGCACTGTTTTAACTCCCTATTCTACCAATAAACCCAAATTAAGAAGTTCCTTTTGATTTTAAAACTGTCTTGCTCTTTTAATACAGTCTCAGAGGTTGATTCCCCAGCTTTTCAGAGTTCTCATTCGTTCATTCATTCATTCATTCAACTTGTTGAAGACAAGTCACCTACTCTACAGAGCATATAGGTAAGTCATACTCTATGTCATGGGGTACTGGGAATTAAGTCCAACATGCTAAGCCTGTGTTCTCCTACTGAATTATGCCTGCAGCCCCTAAAATTTTTGATCTAGTGAAGAAAGCAATATGTAAATATAATCACACCTATATGGCATAGGTAACAATAGAGAGGTGTGTAGGGTCCTGTTGTTTGTGTGGAATCGAAGAAGAAATGGTTAACTTCTCCCTGCAGCAGACAGTAGGAAACAGGTAACACACTCTTCAGAGACGGGGCTTCACACACGATGCTTCTGAACAGGGTTCCAGAGCATGACTCTGGGTTGGCTGTGTGGAGAGGAACATTCTCCAACTCTTCATTTCTGCACCTGAAATCAGTTTACCAGAATCCCCCTGTCCCTGTTCCCTACGGTACCAACCCTAGTCATTTGGAACTTCAGTCCTACAGAGTTAAAACATTTTTATAGGAAATAAAGTTTTTTCATGAGCTGCTAACCATGGTTCTTTGACTTGGTTCTGGGAAATCCTTTTTCGTAACTATTAATGTTTTCAAAGCCATAGTCTTGTTCCTCATGGACTAGGGGAAAAATATCAGCATCATCTCAACAATATATTTGTCGGCTGTTGTTCATAATTTCAAGTCTATGGACACTGGCTGGTCACATGCAGTTTGGCAGATGACAACAGACGTCTATTGAAATGGAACCCCAATATTATTTAGTTTGGGGGGGGGAGACAAACCAGTCAAGCCTAAAAGTGATAAAATACCATGGGAAACTCAATCCTCCGTTGCCGTGGGTGACCTCTGAGTGAACTGTAAAATAAGAAGCTGACCTTGACCTACTTCAATGGTACCAAGTTGGAGACAGAAAACCAAGCAATCCCCTGAAGAAAGCACAACCCTGTTGGAAACGAGCACCCTCTTAAAGGGCTTCGACTATCCTCTCGACCATCCCTGGTCCTCTAGTGTGAACTTAAGCAAACAAAAGACAAACCATTTGCTTTTAACCGTATAGTTGCCAAGGTAAGAATTCATTTAAGCGAGATCATTCTTTTCCCAGTAAAGTTGGAAATGCTTTATTTCCCAAAGTTCTAGCCAATAACAGGCATGCTCAGGAGATCTGAAGCTAAGCAGGCAAGACAGTTAAAGTGATTACTCTGGGAGCCCGACCCAATTAATCCCTGGAGGGCATGGTGAGAAGTACAAACTAAACCTTTCTCTTTATCACCAAGCAAATGAAACCTGGATTCAAGATATTTCTTGGTTTTTATTCTCTATTTTTTTTTCCAGGGCTCTGTTCCATTTGCTTTGGTGTTCCCAGCTTTCTCTCACTTTGGGCCCACAGGCGACCTTACTGACTTCCACACGGAAGTGCTCCAGAGCTGTGGAATCAGGAATGGCTCTGCTTGCAGAGTCTGGTTGATCCTATTTCCATGTGTTCTTGGCATAGTAGGGCAACCACTAGATTGCCTCTTTTCAAATACTGATAATTCCACAAAAAAGAATTCTAAGAAATGTCTTCCAAAAATTTAACCTCACAGATATTGCACCTTAGAGTTTACACACGGGTGTACAGACACAGACACAGACACAGAGTGGTCATGGAGACTAGATCACAAGCGACACTTGCTTTATCAGCTATGGCTCTTATGACATCAGGGGAGGGGCCCATGTCCTTCAACAGCACACTGAGGCCACCAAGGTTCTGCTCCTTTCTTGATTATGTGTTGCTCACTGAAGAGCCAGCATGCATGGATAGTGTGACCACTGTGGCCAGTTTCCCCTCAAGGCTCAAGAAGAACTCCCTTTCCACTTAACCTCTCTTCTCTCCTGTCATTTCCTCTCCTTTCTTTCTCATCTCCTCCCCTCCCACCATTTTAATTTTTGAAACAGGCTCTCTCTGTGTAGCCCTGGCTGGCTTAGAACTTGCTATGTAGTGACTGAATTTGTAACATTCTTCCTCTGCCTTACCCTGAGGGTGGAGACTAGAGGCTCATGCCACCCGGCCTCCAACATCTTCTCTTCCACAGCTCCACCTCTCCCCAGCCTAGGTTAGATGCTTCCTGTGCAACTCTCCTCCATACTTACTGGACCACAGGGTCTATGAAGGCAAGGGACCATGATTCTCTGTGCATGCAGAACTTAGGACAGTCCTGCCATGTACACTGTAGTAGAGGATCAATAAATATTTGCTGAATTAACAGACAAGCGGCTCAATTAACAAACAAATCAGAGGAGGTCAGCTAGAGCCATGGTCATGCTCTGCCCAGAAATTAGATGGAGGATTTTGGCTTTCCCCCAGTATGATGGAAATCCCTGTGAGCTGCCAACAATGTGCCCACTGGGATGGGCTCTGGAAGGAATTCAATTTCCTAGATCAGTTCCAGAATAGATGGACCTTATTGGAGTGCTTCCATAAGAGAGTGCCAAGGTCCAAAACATACATCTGGTTTCAGGTTAGACTCTGACAGCTGAAGGATGGGGTTTCATCTGCACCCACATCTCTCTCCATGGGTGGAATATTTTTGTATCAGACAAGAGGAACATCAATGCTAGGCTCCATTTTATTTTTTGCTGAACAGGTGATAGTATGGTTTAGAGAGTTTTCATTCCTAAATGAAAGGCCTTTCCATTTTATGTTTTTTAAAAAACAAAGCTAGATGTCAAATCCAGGGCTTTGTGTGTGCTCTACCAAGAATACAAGTGGTCAGCTAGTAGCAAGAATTCTACCTCTGAGCTATTCTTCCATATGAATGTATATTTTTAATTGAATAAGGCAAAGAGAGGGCTGGAGAGATGGCTTAGAGGTTAACAGCATTGGCTGCTTTTCCAGAGGTCCTGCGTTCAATTCCTGGCAACCACATGGTAGCTTACAACCATCTATAATGAGGTCTGGTGCCCCCTTCTGGTGTACAGCATACATGCAGGCAGAACGTTGTATACATAATAAATCTTTAAAACAACAACAAAAAAAGGCAAAGAGAATATCTGGGGATTAATCTGGTTGGGGTGCATTTTCATTTTCTGATTTCAACATGGTTAAGACCCCTAGCACATAGGAGAGTGTGTCCATGTGTCAGGGGCAGCCTTGCTTATACACTGAAGGCCTAAAATGAGCCATAGTCAGCCTAAGTCAGCCTGCTAACACAAAGTCTTGGTCTATATGGAAAAACACTGAACAGATGGCTATAGGATATTGTAAACAAGTAGCCTTGGTGGAAATTTACCAGCCTGGATAGTAGTCATTAGGTCTTGTGGATAGGTGGCCTTGGTGGAGGGTACCAGCTTAGATAGAAACAAGTGA